TCCAGAGGAGCACCCTTCTAGTTGCTAGATGGAATACTGCCCAATTCATGAATCACTTAATAAAGCCAATTAGATTAGGTCGAATTTTGTTTGAGTAAACTATAGTTTAGGAAAGTTGAATAAATTTACCGTGGTCATAAATGAATGAATGAATGGATGAATGAATGAATGCAGATTCCTGGGTCTCACCACTAGTGATTCTGGCCCAAAAGGTCTGGATCCAAGGATTATAATTTTAACATGAGCTCCAGGTGATTGTGATGAAGGTGGATGGTGGATTATACTTCGAAAAAGTGTTAGAGAGGATAGGAAACTTCTGAAGCAATGGGAGAAACTAAAGTGGTCCAGGGACATTGGTGATATGGCCTATAGGGGTGAGAAGAGGAGAAATCATGGATATCACAAAGAAGAAGCAGTCACAGATGGAAGCTTCAAATATAATGCCTGACACACAGCTGATATTTAACAAGTTGTAATTGAAAAGGAATTTTTTTTGCAGGGTCATTGCCGTCAATAGTCAGGTATGGAAGAACAAAGACATGAAGAAATTTACTGCTACTTTTGCCTCTGACTTTTGTAGTTGGAGTTCTTATAGGATGGGAAATTAGGCAAATGTCTCATATGTAGAGCCAGTCCTTACTAGCACACAGCAGAGTTCACCCTCCCTCCTGTCCCTCCTCAATAATCTTAGGTCTGGGGCAGGCTGTGTGAAATGACCAAATCTCACCAAGTGGGTTTGCATCTGTGAGTCATTTTAGCTGGATCAGGACCAGGTAGACAATTTATATGATGCTTCCTGAAGTGTTTGCTTCTAACCCCCGCGACCCATGACAAGGACTATAGAGCTTTGGCAAAACAAGAAGCTGCTAAATTTATGTTGTTTTTTCAGGGAACCTCTTGCTCACCCAGCCCTGATTTAGACAGAATGTAGAGCATAACAGAGACATGTGGCAGAAGCAGGCAGCTGGGGAGAGGAGCTCGCCTCACATGCGCCCTCCTCAGAATTTGGCCAGAAGTAGACTGTGTCGTGCCATAAAGTCACCACCATTCTAGTTGGACCCAGTGTCAATCAGTGCTTTTATTGTTTTTCTTTGGCAGATTCTCCTACTCAGCACTAACATTCGAGATGTAGATATTTCTGTAGTCTAGGAGTGCAAAACGTTTTATTTCTAATGTTCGGTCAAAACGTTTCAGAAAATATTTTAGTTGAGAGTAGAAAGCAGACCATGAATTTGGTTTCTTACTATATCCTAGTAGAACAAAATTTGGCTTAAATCTTGACACCGGGTCCTCTCTATCCTTGAGTGTGACATATTTTAGTAAAGTAGAGAGAGCACTGGAAAGGAGTGAGGTCATATTATTTAGATCCTAACCTTTACTCTGTTATAAACTAGCAATGTGAACTTGAACAAGTTGCTCCCTTCCTGGGGTTTGTGACAGATTGGTTCCCTGAGAAATAGACTCTGAGACTCTTGAGATTTATTTGCAGGAGATTAATGGTGAATGATCTTAGGAACAATTCCTATAAAGGATACAAGATGACAGAGGGAGAATTTGAATTGCAGTGCAGCTGACCCCTCAGAGTTGTGCACTTTGTGTCAAGGAGTACAGCTTTTATATCTACCCGCCCCCACCCCCCGCGCTC